TAATTATTTAGAATATTATTCTTTTAATAAATATGATATTATTTCTATTTATTATTATTATTATTAGATTTATTTAACCATTCATTCATACACATTTCATATAATAATTATTTTTAATTATTATTATTATTATTATTATTATTACTTTAATAAATATGATATTTATTATTATTATTTAACCATTGTTTAAATTTAACTTTTTAAATTATTATTTTAAAATATTATTATTTTAATAAATATGTTATTTGTTATTAATAATATTATAACTATATAGCCATTTTTTATTATTTTAAAAAATAATTATTTAAAATCGTTATTTTATTAAATATAATTATTTATTTGTTATTCTGATTATTATTAAAATTATGTAACCATTCTTTAAATTAAAAATTCAAATGTTTTACATGTTTAAATTCAAATTATTTCCTTACACACACATAACAGTATGACATAAATCCTCTGTGGCATCACATCAACAGTTTTACTGAGATTCATTTAAAGTTATTTCTGTCATGACAGCTCTCGGAGGGATTGGCATGGTAATGTACATGACAATGTTAATGTATTTGGTATTGGCGGAATAGATCTGCTACGATGCTGCTGTGAGCATGTAAGAAATACTGCTGCTGCACATATAACATACATGAAATAACCCTCATATAGCATACACAAATCACCTCGAAGCAGATCTATACAGGTGGAGCTGGGGAAGGTGGAGGGCTTCTGAAGTTCGCTGCAACTGCTACGGCAAAGCACTAGTCATATATTTGAATGCTGAGCAGCGAGCTCATTGGCTACCGATACAGGAGAGAACCAATCAGCTGTGCCATGTGATGATGATGTCATTAGGTCAGATTGAGTTAGACCTATCGGACTGCGCCATCTAGAGTTTCATGCCAGACCTCTGTATTCCTCTGTCTCTGATCTGCAGACCACACCTCACACGACGAGCTGAGCGAGAGCCTTCGGACGCACCGTCTCCTCTTCAACATCTCTGTCCCGCGGCACGAGCGCGTCGTCAGCGCCGAGCTGCGGCTCCACATGCTTCTCAAGACAGACTCGCGGCATCGCACCGGAGCGGGCTGGAAGGTGAGCGTATTCGACACGCACCGGGACGGACGCTGCGGGAACGCCGAGGGTGAGAGAGATCCGCTGGCTTCAAAGCACGTGCATCGCAAGGACAGCGGCTGGGAGGTGTTCGATATGACCAACGCCATCCAGCATGGGAGGAAGATCAATACTGTGACCCCCAGCCTGGAGGTTCATATCGAAAACCTGCAAGCGTTTAGGAATACGAACGACTGGCCAGTGCTAGACATTGACAGGAATCTGGATGGAAAACACGAGCCTGCGCTGATCGTCTTCTCAGACGACACGAGTGACATCCATCAGGAAGCCCGGAGCCACCGGAGCGAACTCAAAAGGATGGAGAACCAACGCTGGATGGATGAGAGCGAGGATCAAGACGAGGCGCTGTTAACCCAAACGCGCTCGAACCTGATCTACGACGACGGGCCGAGAGTCCGGCGCAGCGCTAAAACAGAAGACTGCAGGAAAGCCGAGATGTACGTGGATTTTAAAGACATCGGCTGGGACTCGTTCGTCTTGGCTCCGTCCGGTTATCAGGCGTTCACCTGCCGCGGTGCATGCAATTATCCTCTGGCTCGGGAAGTGACGCCCACCAAACACGCTATAGTTCAGACGCTGCTCAATCTGAAGAGTCCTCAGAGAGCGGCGCAGGCCTGCTGCGTTCCCACCGAGCTCAAGCCCATCTCCCTGCTGTACGAGAACGAGCACGGCGTCGTGGTGTTGAATAATAAATACGAGGGCATGGTGGTCAAGGAATGCGGATGCAGATAGTCCAAAACACCGGAAGAAAAGACTGAAACCATGTGCGGATGGGAATCATCTGCAGCTCATCAACCAAAATAGGATGAAATCATAGTAGTTTCACACGTGCTGCTTCATGAACTGAACATTCAGAATCTTGGCATCTCTATCAGCTTTTATTTAGGCCTCATGAATATTTATTAGTTGTAAATGAGTCTGTTTTCTATTGTAATGTACGACACACTGCTTTGGGGTGTTTAATCATCTGTGACCCTGCAATCTGAAAGAAGAATATACACCTAGGATGCCTTGAGGGTGAGTAATTTATTTGGCTAATTAAAATTTTTGGGTGAAATAACCCTTTAAAATAACAATTGTTTTCTAAGTGTGAAAAGTGTGCATTTTAATAATCTACTGAACTTTTTTCCATTATAAAGAGCCTTTTGTGCAATAAAAAGGTTCCGTCGGTGTTGCCAGATTGGTGATTTTCCTGCACAATTGGGCTATTTTGAAAATTCAGTTTCGGGAAAAATAACAGAGCCACGGGTTGGATTTTTTTCTGGCTATTTTTGTACCATAGCCACCAAAAAGTTTATATGTAGACAAAGAAAATGAAAATACATCATTTTACTAATGTGTGTTGATTCTTGGAATACCTGGCAACCTAAGGACCGAAGATTATGTTGACTTTTTATAATGGTTTTGACTGAGATCAGAAAATATCAGTTTTTCATTTATTGTTATGAAGATGTGTACAATCTACATTATGTTAAAAGAATTGGGGAAGTGCACAGACGATACATCTTTTCAAGCAAAAACGTATAGACGTACGACTATAAAGGGGATGATACTACACGGGGCAACTTTTTGAGCAATGTTGCGTGGGCACTTTCCCATTGACAACGGGTAACTCATTTCTATCTGGATACTTTAGATCGGTCGTGTGTCTCACCTGGTTTCCCGTTGACGGCAACATTGCCCAGCAAAACTGCTCAAAAAGTTGTCCCGTGTATCATAGGCTTAAAGCATAAATGATAAACAAAGTGATTTTCTGCATTGAAACGATGTGAAAAGTGCAATATAAATAGCTTAAATTTGACTTGACTTGTGTAGCTTACATTTAAATAAACTATTTATCATGCAAAGTGCTGGGAAATAAAACCAAAGGCTGAGTAAAATAATTAAAAGTACCAAAAAAAAAAGTACTGAGGAGGATAAAATACAGATTAAGCGGTCAACTGAGATTTTTTTTTCTCCTGGGATCTGGCAACCCCAACAAAGAACCAGTGCAGGGTTCAAGAAAATGTCAAAGATAACATCCTGGCACAAACTTACAGTACATTTTCCATTTTTCTATGTTTCATTTCCTTGCAATGTTAAATCTGACATGAAACGTATTTATTCTTGATTGCCGAGCCTTCCAGAGTTTGTTTGTCTGCGTGTAATGTGAATAAACCTACAGATGCTCACTTAAGCAGACGTTCTCTCATGTGTCAATAAATCTGGTTAAACCGGACGTCTTATCTGAAGCACTAAGTGTTTCAGTGTAAAGACCTTTAGCAGTGAAGATACAGAGGCATATCGGGAGCCATACACTACAGAACTGATATACAGTACACACACACGACAACGGGAAATCATTCCTCAGCACCGCTTGGAAAAACACACACAGCAGGCTACATAGTTATAAATATTAACTGCATTAACTGAAGCTTTATACGCTATTATAATTTTTCATTATAATTCTAAAAATAATTTAATAATAATTTAATTTAAATAAATAAATGAATTATATATTAATAAAATGCACTGATTGTAAGAAGAATAAATTAGTAAAAAAAAAAAAATTGGACCAAAATAAATAAAAAAACCGCCAAATTTTAAATTATTAATTTGAGTTCTATTTATCACCTTATTTTAAACTTTTTTTGTTTTGCAAAGTAAACTACACGTCCTAACTAAATTTGAATAAAATTACAAATTGATAAAAAAATCTAATTTAAAGCAATAAATAATGAATGATATTCAATGATATTTGATTAATAAATAAAAAAGATTAGGTTTAAATACATAATATATATTATGTAAAAACACAAAATATTGGATTAAATGAATAAAAAATATATAACTAGGCTATATTATTAATACACTTGTTTCAAGTATTACTTATTCATTTTTGAGTGATATATTTGTTTATCACCTTGTTTTTAAACTTTCTTTTTTTTAAAGAAATGATTCCACGTAGTTGATGGGTGAAACGGAGCTTTTCTATAAACTTACAATCAGTTAAACCATTGCGCTGAAATATGATTCACTGTTTCGGAGTGCTCGATCTTTGGAACGTGTTCGCGGATCATTTGATTCGGATCGGATCTTTAGAACGTGTTCGCGAATCATTTGATTTGGATCGGATCTTTGGAACGTGTTCGCGGATCATTTGATTCGGATCGGATCTTTAGAACGTGTTCGCGAATCATTTGATTTGGATCGGATCTTTGGAACGTGTTCGCGAATCATTTGATTTGGATCGGATCTTTGGAACATGTTCGCGAATCATTTGATTCGGATCGGATCTTTAGAACGTGTTCGCGAATCATTTGATTCGGATCGGATGTTTAGAACGTGTTCGCGAATCATTTGATTCCGATCATTGATCATTGATCATTGAATCATTGATCCGATCCGAATGATTCGGATCGGATCTTTGGATCATTTGATTTGGATCTGATCTTTGGAACGTGTTCGCGGATCATTTGATTCAGATCGGATCTTTGGAACATGTTCGCGGATCATTTGATTCGGATCTGATCTTTGGAACGTGTTCGCGGATCATTTGATTCGGATCGGATCTTTGGAACGTGTAACAGAACTTTAGATAGGTTCCATATATTGTCTAGATCAACTCTGAATAAAGTATAGAGATATTTTTTATAGAGTAATTTTTTTGCTTATGTATGTGAAACTTAGCTAGCAGGAAACACAAATTAATTATGTTAAAGGTCACAGGAGATAACTATAATATATAGTAGTATATAATACATTCACAGAATTAATTGAGTCTTTATACATGACAGTATATGTGCCAAATGTTGGCAGAAATGCCAGCTGCACACACAGTCAGCGCGGTGTGTATTGAGGCGCTGTGCGCATGCGCGATGTGTATTGAGGCGCAGTGCGCATGCGCGGCTCGCCATATTATCGCGCAGCAGGCGCGTCGACACCATCGCGGCTACGTGTTTATTTTCGCTCTGTTTTTGCCCTCCTGTTGATCATATATTGCGCCACATCCCGTCTAAAAGAGTTCTCGCTCAGATAAAGATCACTTAACAGCTGTTGTCGCTTTAAATCGTTGTAGATATCGCGTTAGTCCGGCTGAAGAGTGCTAAGCGCGCTAGCCGCTAACAAGATTCACATCAAAACCACCAAACCTGGACAGATTCGTTCACAGGAGACATAACAGGTATGTTATTTCAATACCCGCTTTCATATTTAAATGTGTTTTGCTTGTCTGTATCTCAAGTTTAGGTCTGAAGTAACCTAACCGTCGCTCGTGTGCTAGCATGTAGCAGGTAATGCTAACACGCAGATCTCGTGTTGTTTACATTCTCTTCAGCTCGTGTATACACCGCTGCCAGCACATTCACGAGCTCTGGACACTTCTACACCTCTGTAAGACTTCACTGGTGAAGATTACTGCGGTGTGAGACGCTTCTCTCGGTAAACACCATGTCTGTGCTGTCAGTGTATCGATCAGATTCACTTTATAAGTACAGCTCTATAATAAGATTGAGTTTAGGTGCTTATATTTGCTTAAAACAACTCCAGGCATGTGTTTACTTTGAACAAGCACGTTTAGATTTAGTAAAACCAAAATGCTGATATGAAATTGATATCCTGACGTTATATATTACTGTATTATTTTATAATATCTATACACACACGTCTCTTCTGCTCATCAAGGCTGCATTTATTTGATCAGAAAAAACTACAATTGTGAAATATTATTGCTATTTTAAATAACTTTCAAATTAAATGTGAAGTAAATGCTGTTCAGTTAAAAAAAATGTGTTCGTCAAGGAATCTTGGAAAAAAGTTTCACAGGTTCCAAAATAACTAATTAAGCAGCTGCAAAAACTGATAATAAAGCAGCATATTATACTGATTTCTGAAGATCATGTGACACTGAAGACTGGAGTAATGATGCTGAAAATACAGCTGCGCATCACAGAAATACATTACAGTTTAACACATATTCACACAGAAAGCAGTTGTCTTGAATTATAATAATATTTCACAATTTTACAGTTTTTTCTGTATTTCTGATCAAATAAATGCAGCCTTGATGAGCAGAAGAGACGTCTTTAAAAACATTAAAATTCTTTCTTTTCACAAACTTTTGAACGGCAGTGTAGTTATATAATTTTTTGATGTATTTTACATTTCATATTATATTAATGTTACTATAATGTGTTTTATATATTTAGTGTTTTACACACACATATATATTTAAAAAAAAATTCTCACAATTCAGTGTTTACATCTCTTACTTTTTTCCGGAATTGCATGATATAAACTAGCAGTTGTGAGTTATAAAGTCGGAAATGCGTGATATACGCTTGTAAAAAAAATTGTGAGCTGACTTATTTTTCAGAATTGGACTTTATAACTCGCGGTTGAGCGTTCATATCTCACAATTCTGAGAAAAGAAGTCAGAATTCTGGGATGCAAACTCAGAATTGCAAGAAAAAAGGCAGAATTGGGAGATTAAAAAGCAGCGATTATCTTTTCTCTTATCCCGTGGTGGAAACAGGCTTCTATGTTTATCAGCTAATTTTAAATGTTTTCTGTAAAACCATGCGGAATGATCAGCCGCTCCTTAACGTTCTCAATCCTTCCGCAGGGGACGTTTGGATGGACCCTTCACTGGCGCCAGTGTATTGCTGAAACGAGTTATTAGCGGCACACGGGAGCCTCTCTGAGGCCGATAACCAGCGCAGGATGTCCATCACAAACACACCCACCAGTAACGACGCCTGTCTGAGCATCGTGCACAGTCTGATGTGCCACAGACAGGGCGGCGAGAGCGAGACCTTCGCCAAACGGGCCATTGAGAGTCTGGTGAAGAAACTGAAGGAGAAGAAAGACGAGCTGGATTCGCTCATCACCGCCATCACCACCAACGGCGCTCATCCCAGCAAATGTGTGACCATACAGAGAACGCTAGACGGCAGGCTGCAGGTGCGACAGGACTGCCTCCACACTCTTCAGATTAGTGGTCGACCGATATTGGTTTTTTGACAGCCGATGCCGATAGCTTGGAAAGCAGGGTGGCTGATATAATTGTATTTATTTTAATATTTAAGAAATTTGAAAATGGATTAATAAATTAATTTGTAAAATAAACATACTTATACTTTATAGGGCTGTCAAAATGGCTGAAAAACTTTTTACTTAAATATGATCAATATTCGAATTTAAAAGGCATATAAGTTCAGTTAGGGGGAAAAAAGCTGTTGGCTTCTCTCCTGAGGCCACAAGAGGGCGCACTGAGCAAAATATGATGCACGTTTCTTCAAAGCATAATAAAATAACACGGCTATCTTTGCATAATGTTTAAAATAATGCTTATAAATCATATATAATTACTAAAGTTGCTTAAACAATTATATGTATAGTTTAATACAAAGGACCGAAAACCGAACACAGTACTTTTTTAATTTAAAAACATGAGATACAGTGGGATGAGGAAAAACTGGCATAAAGTCTTGAGACATGTTTTTTAAAAGTTGAACTTAACATTAATTTTACATGGATTTCTAAACATGCCGCTCTCTTGTGAGAGACGCGAGTGCAACGCTGATAGATGTCCCTCTAGAAAATGTGATGAATATGCGTTCTGTGTGAACGGCTTGGTTTCAGTTTTGACGTAAACAACATCTCCTCCACACTGATGCTCTCGTTTTCCGCAATCTATTGAATGAACAACGTAGCAGCGCCGCATCTAGTGTGTTCAACTGGATAGGCTAACAAAAGCATTAAAATGCAATCAATGACACTTACATCGTCGTCGCATTTCAAGCGCCACTGATGAGGCTACCTGACGCACACCTAAAATTGTGGATTTTCATTTTAAATTCGACGAATATTCGAAATTCTAATTTTTTTTTTGACAGCCCTAATACTATATATGACAAAGTATTTTTATTAAATACTTAATAAAAGTATAATTAAAAAGGAAGTAAACTGTAACCAACAGAGCACTCAGTATTCTGGGAAGTTTGTGTGCATTGGGAATCATATTTGTTCAAATAAAGCCAAGGTAACACTCATTTTACACACAGCACACGGTGAAAATGACATGAATATGGCAGAGGGCAAATGCATAAAGCGCAGCATCATTTGAAATCACGAATTTAATGTTTAAAGCATTCAATATGCACGGACTGAAAGTCACGCAGAGAACACGCGATCACGCAGATCACATGCACACTTCAACTGGATTCGACTAAGTTTGCAAGGTTTGTGAAATTAAATGTTCATTAGTCATTCACAGATTCGTTTACATTATATAAAAGCATATTTGCGGAATGCTGACGGCAACCGAGAAAGTATTATAGTGTTTGCCTTTCTATTACTATTAATGATATAAAAGCAATCGTTATGATACTTTTTGTATACATTTTAATTCCTTTGTTTAACAGCTCTATCGGATTATTAGACAGACTTCTATCCGTATTAGACAGAACTGTTAATGACGACAGAGAACAAGAGGGGGAATGTGAGCTCTCAGCGCCGTCAAAATAAAAGTCCAGCCTCGAACGCATCGGCCAAACAGAAAACGTATCGGCCGATATTTGAGAAATGCCAAATATCGGCCGATATATCTACTTCAGATTGTATCTGTCTCTATATGTGTGTGTTCCTGTAACTCTCTTCTGCATTTAGGTGGCTGGTCGTAAAGGATTCCCACATGTCATCTACGCACGGTTATGGCGATGGCCGGACCTTCATAAGAACGAGTTGAAACAAGTCAAGTACTGCCAGTTTGCCTTTGACCTGAAGTGTGACAGCGTGTGTGTGAACCCTTACCATTACGAGAGAGTCGTGTCTCCAGGAATAGGTCCGTTTGATGTTCATTTTAATAGCGTGAAGCTCGTTCACGATGGCCTCGATTTAAGCCAACTTATCCTGTGTTTTCTTCGGCAGAGGGCAAATGCATAAAGCGCAGCATCATTTGAAATCACGAATTTAATGTTTAAAGCATTCAATATGCACGGACTGAAAGTCACGCAGAGAACACGCGATCACGCAGATCACATGCACACTTCAACTGGATTCGACTAAGTTTGCAAGGTTTGTGAAATTAAATGTTCATTAGTCATTCACAGATTCGTTTACATTATATAAAAGCATATTTGCGGAATGCTGACGGCAACCGAGAAAGTATTATAGTGTTTGCCTTTCTATTACTATTAATGATATAAAAGCAATCGTTATGATACTTTTTGTATACATTTTAATTCCTTTGTTTAACAGCTCTATCGGATTATTAGACAGACTTCTATCCGTATTAGACAGAACTGTTAATGACGACAGAGAACAAGAGGGGGAATGTGAGCTCTCAGCGCCGTCAAAATAAAAGTCCAGCCTCGAACGCATCGGCCAAACAGAAAACGTATCGGCCGATATTTGAGAAATGCCAAATATCGGCCGATATATCTACTTCAGATTGTATCTGTCTCTATATGTGTGTGTTCCTGTAACTCTCTTCTGCATTTAGGTGGCTGGTCGTAAAGGATTCCCACATGTCATCTACGCACGGTTATGGCGATGGCCGGACCTTCATAAGAACGAGTTGAAACAAGTCAAGTACTGCCAGTTTGCCTTTGACCTGAAGTGTGACAGCGTGTGTGTGAACCCTTACCATTACGAGAGAGTCGTGTCTCCAGGAATAGGCCCGTTTGATGTTCATTTTAATAGCGTGAAGCTCGTTCACGATGGCCTCGAACTTATCCTGTGTTTTCTTCCAGACTTATCCGGACTCACACTGTCAGGCTCTGGTGAGTGATATTCTATTGAAAAATAATTGGTTTTCCAAATTAAAAGGGATAATTCACCCAGAAATGAAAATTTACCTGCCCTCATGTTGTTCCAAACCTGTATGAGCTTCTATCTTGTGTGGAACATAAAAAAGATATTTTGAAGAAAGTTGGTAACCAAGCAGGTGATGGTCACTATTGACTTCCATAGTAGTTTTTTCCCCATACTATGGGAGTCAATGGGGACCATCTACTGTATCTATAAATATCTATAAAGACATGCGTACGGGTTTGGAACAACATGAGGGAGAGCAAATGATGACTGAATTTTTATTTTTGGGTGAAATGTCCCTTTAAGGGCACAGACAGTAGCAGATGTATTAGGCTGCTGTCACTTTAAGACCTACTATTATGTATATAAACCCATTTTTAATTTACATACAAATATACAGTGCTTAACAAATTTATTAGACCATCATCACCACCCAAAGTAAGGTTTGTGCTGCTGCTGCCCTAATATAATTACTGTTGTTACCCATGAATTTTCTAATTGACTGTTTAACAAG